ACCAAGATTTTCCCACCTCCTCTACCTTGTCTGTGCCCAGGCGTCAAAAAGAAATGCTCCATCTCACCACCTTCACAGCCTAGACCCCAATAATGGTCTTTTTTTGTGCACATGAATTGTGCTCAGCTCTTGTCTATTTGCACAGAGGATACTCTCTGTGTAGTGTGCTCACCTGAGGTTTTCTACATGAGCACCGCATTGGGGAAATCAAAATTTTACAATTTTATCGTACTCACTGGTTTCCTTCTTCTATATTCACCACTTCGATCCTATTGATCAAGGATCCTACTTGATCAATACTTGACTGATTGATCCTACTTGCTCAACCTTTGTGCTGTTCTCAATCACACTTGATCAAAAAAAGAGGCCAGAGAAACCAGAGACTGATACCAAACCACGAGGAGCACTCTCTTGCAAAGGAGAGAAGGCGTTGACATGTGAGAAGATATCAGACTATCCCCAGAAAGCCTTTTTGCCCTCTCACACGCACCTCCTGCCCTACTCCACGGCACACAGCTGGGATGGCAGCTGTCTTGAGGAGTAACCCCAAAGGCAGGCTTGGCTTACCGCCACACCAACGAGATTTCAAGGTCTTTTGAATTGCAACGTGAACCAAAAGCTCCTCACGACCACCGCGCATCCAGGGTGTGGGGCAACTTGCTTTTTCCTACAAAGCTGATGGAGGCCACAGACCCTGGGGGTGCCACTAGCTCTGAGCAGAAGGTGCTCGCGTTTGCAGTAGCTGTGCCCACGGGTTTTCATGCATGTTCCTGGTTCCTGAGACTGCGGTGATCAGCCTGTCAAGTTGAAGGCCAGCAACATCCCCGGGGATGCTCGCTGAGCCCTGCTGTGGCCTTTGCCTCTGTAGATTGGTGACCAGCATTTATAGAGTTATGGAATGGTTTGGGTTCAAAAGGACCTTAAAGCCCATCCAGTTCCACCCCCTGCCATGGGCAGGGACACCTCCCACCAGCCCAGGTTGCTCAAAGCCTCATCCAGCCTGGCCTTGAACCCCTCCAGGGATGGGGCATCCACAGCTTCCCTGGGCAACCTGGGCCACTGCCTCACCACCCACACAGGAAAACATTTCTTCCTAATATCTAATCTAAATCCAGTGTCTTTCAGCTTAAAACTGTTCCCCGTCATCCTACCACTCCACCCCCTGATGATGAGTCCCTCCCCATCTCTCCTGTAGCCCCCTTTCAGCCCTGAAAGCTGCTCTAAGGTCTCCCCAGAGCCTTCTCTTCTTTCTCCAGGCTGAACAACTCCTTCTGTCTGTCTTTGCAACCACATTCACTGTGGCGCAACACTCATGTGTGGAGACACTTCTCCTGCCCACCTTCACCTCACCCCCACCCTGGGCAGGTCACAATCTGCAGGTTAGGGACAGCCACCCAGCTGGGCTCTGCTCTTGCCACCTGGCAGGACAAACAGGCAGAGCTGACATCTTTCAGCTAACTGCAATCTCATTTCTTTTCTGCTTTTAAATCTGACTTCTCTTTGTTTCTGTAAGAGATTAACTGAATCTCTACGATCTTGCATGAGCCACAGCATCAACAGGCAGCAGCATCTTTCCATGGAGCACAGTCAGAGCTTCTTCTACATCAAGCGGCTGAGTCAGCGGCCCACATGATAAATCAAAAAATGCAAGAAGTTCATGGCCTTTGCCAGTAGCACTTCTTGCAAACGTCTTTTTACTAGGACGAGGGGTAACAGTTTTTTCCTGTCTTTAGAGTAGAAGAGCACCAATGACTTCCCCATTAACAACTGGCCCAGGTTGCCCAGAGAAGCTGTGGATGCCCCATCCCTGGAGGGGTTCAAGGCCAGGCTGGATGAGGCTTTGGGCAACCTGGGCTAGTGGGAGGTGTCCCTGCCCATGGCAGGGGGGTGGGACTGGGTGATCTTGAATGTCCCTTCCAACCCAAACCATTCTGTGATTCTGTGTTTCTAACTATCCTGAGGTCAGATTTGCAATTACAGACAAGAGGATGTGTTTTCCCTTGTAGCTGTTCCTAGGCTGGCAACCACGCAGCTCTGACTCGTCCCAGCTTTTCTGCTGTTGCCTGGATTTGCTGGACACCAGTGAGCCTGGGTCAAGACTCAGGTCACTGGTTTGAGAGGTTACATGATGCTACATCTGGTTATTTATATGCTACTTCTTGGGTAGTGGTTTCCTACCAGTTTCCCCCAGGTTTTCTACCGAGGTGTCACACAGCCACCACATACCACATACATTGGCACTGTCACTTGGATTAAGAACTGGTGAGAAGAACTGCTCGATCTACCGCTGTTCAGAAATCACACCAGCTCCGCCATTGAGCTTGGCTACTTAGAAATATATTCCAATTCCCAGACAGATGGATGGGCATGGACATAGCTGCAGAACATGCAGCCTTTAGTGAGCACGCGTAGGATTTTAGGATGGGTGTGTGCAACTTCATCCATCCCAGAAAACTAGGTGATGGGGTCATTGGGGAAATGAAGAGAAAGACGGAGTTACAAACGTCTGGGTTTCCTGCTCTGAATACGCAGAAAACGAGGCCATTGCATTGGCAGATTATGTTCTTTCACACAAAAGATTATCAGAAATAGTATTTTCCATTCTTCAGAGTAGAACAGCACCAACGACTCCCCATTAGCCTAATGTTAAAGCTCTTCTCAATTCCTACAACCTTCCTACCAACAAAATGGGGTCAAAAAACATTTTGTTCTTCTCAACAAGACATTAGTCACAACTGCAATGTTTCATGAGAAGGTAAGTAACTATTTGAAGCCAAAAAACTTAAAATTAATGTGGGTAGACAGACAAATCAAAAGGAGAATGACAAAAGCACACGCAATAAAGCACCATGGAACAAGGCTAGGATACGTTTAAAACAAACGCATGTGTATTAATGTCCCAAAACCATTACTCTGGCCACAGAAACCACCCTAACACCATACTGCGGTGCTACCAGGCACTAACACACTAGGATAATCCTGTTCTAATGCTTCTGACCCAGATGGGATTACACTCATGGCCTTTCCATAATTTCTCACCATTTTTCTTGGATGTTCCCACCAGGCTCAGGAGCGTGCTAGACAGCAGCACACTGCAACAAAGCGCTCAGAGGCTGGGAATAACAGCTTGGATTATACCTATAATCTACACAGATGAGGCTGTTGTCCTGCCTGGGCAATCCTGCACCTTGAATTTATCCACGTCTTTTCTGGGCTGGGACTGTGAACCTTTGGGAAAGCTCAGTGGGAATTTACAGGGCTCAGGCGTACTGGAGCACTGACTGCTGGATGCTACAGAGCAATTACTTGCAAATGTAAATGGACAAAACACAGTCGTAAGTGTCAGGGAAATGTTAAAAAAAAAAAAAGAATAAAAGAAAAAGAAAAATAATTTGAAAATTTGGGCCTCCTTACCCGTCATACAGTCTTTGTTCTGTGTCAAAGGGTTCTATTTGCTTCCTTCACTGGCACAAACAAAATTATTCCCATTAGCCCCAAGGAGAGGTGACAGCTAGCTACGCAAGCGAGAGATGGATTCTGTTCTGCATCACACAAAATCAACAAAATAGTCAAATGTGTTCTAGCTCAGGAAGTGTCTTCATTTTTTTTTATTTGCACTAACAGCAATGACGACGTGATGAAAGTAGTCAAACGAATGTGGCACGATTACCATGTCGGGTGGTTGGGAGAAGGCTGGCATGAAGCTGGGGAATTTATTTGGTGAATTTTATTGAAAATATTATAAAAGAAACTGAAATGTCACATTTGTAGAATTACCTTTCAACAACCCACGGTCATAGCCTGTGAAAAAGGCCTATCCATCTGTTAGGGAGATTTAAACTAAAGTAACGTGTCTTCCTTCAACAGAGATGCTGATTATTTGAGACAAGACTACAGGAAAAAATGCGATTACATAACCTTCCTCCTGTATTTTTGATTTGGCATACGCAGTTCACAAGAATAGTTCCAACTTAATACACTTACTAAATTTTGAAGCAGACTAACTGTGATCTGACAAAACAGCAGAGATATTTTAATTAAAAAATAACTAAAGTATCATCAGATTAAAAACTTGGCATTTCTCATCTAGTTTGCAAGAACACAGAGGCTGCAAACACACAGACTAATTTCAAAAAATTATGTTGCAACTCTACCATACTTGCGATACTTCTGCTAATTTTTTTTTGGGGGGGTAATCATTTGTCCATTTATGATTTTAGAAAAAACCCTTTCAATCTTTGTCAAAAAGGACAACAAAGAAGGAATCAGATAAAATATAGATGAAAGGACTAGTGTTGGAAACAAAATATTTAATTACAGAAAAATATTTAAACTTAAAATAATTTTAAAGTTAAAAATTCAAAGTTCCCATCAATTACGATTTTTTTTAACTGGAATGCTTTTTCCCCTGTACAAAATAATACAAATCTAAATCTATCCATGGACCATGTATGTATCTTTGATATCATAGAATCATGGAATGGTTTGGGTTGGAAGGGACCTTTAAAGCCCATCCAGTTCCACCCCCTGCCATGGGCAGGGACACCTCCCACCAGCCCAGGTTGCTCAAAGCCTCATCCAGCCTGGCCTTGAACCTTTCCAAGAATGGGATAAGGATGGATATTATCAGAGGCAGTTATCCAAATATAACGAATGTAATAGATTTATTGCACTGTTTTGTTAATATTATACTACTTTTGGGGGGGGAGCATTCTTCTGCTATTTCCCAGTGATATAAATACAAAACAAAGCTGTCATGACTTGAAGTGGTTGGAATGATAATGATTTCACCTTGCCTCTGAAGCCAGCAGGAGGTCTGGCACTAATTACAGCAAAGAATCAGAGCTTTATCACTGGAGTTACAGCCACCCCCACGCTACCTCTAAGCAACGAAATAAGACATAACAATAGCCTACACATTCATTGCAGGTCTCATGCAACCCTCCTTTCTTGTTGAGTGACAAAAAGCAATAGCAGAGGAACACATTGTGACATCTCACCTCGCTATCTTGTCACTGCAGGACATGGTAAGCAGCCGTTCTCCTTGCAATACGCCATCCCACGTCTGGATAGTGGTAGTAGAGCGCACAGGGATGGTCCCTTCCCCAGATTCAATTTTTGTCCGTAGCTGTCCTCTGGCTTTGCGGTTTGGATGCCTGTCCCCTTGATCTAAATGACGAAAATCACTTACAATCAGCTGAGAAACATTGCCAAAGTGTTTTACAGATAGCATTACAGTAAGAAGAGTTGATTTAAGGTATTTGCCTGCGTAACTGCTGGCTTTCATAATAATTTCTATTGCTCCTCGCAAATTAGCTACAGCATCCGACATCTCTCACAAACACTGTCTTCTAAAAGACACTTGCAATTAAACCAAGCTTTCCATGGAGGAGCAGCACACAGTAGGTAGCTCTTCAATTCTGTTCTGCGCGTTAGAACAAAGTTAATGGACAGATCAAGAAAGGGGCAAGGCAGACAACCGCCATTAAAAGATGGAAACAGTGAAACAGTCCAGTTAGTTCTGTACAAAGACGTGCTGACTCACTGGCTTATCTCAGCTAGCATTCAGCCTCTTCGAGACCGCGCGGTGGATCGGTCTATACTTAACTTCTACCACTCAGGAAGAACAGCTCAGATTTGTTTTTTTGGAGAGATCTTTGTCTAACACACATCTACACTAAAAGGAAAAGAAGACACCTAAAGTTTAACTGTGCCAATTGTACATGCTCAAAGAATATTTTCAGCTCTCTCGCTGGAGTCGGGCTGCTGTCATACCCTCTTGTGCTGCTTCGTGGGGTGAGAAGATCCGAGCATCGCCGCAGGGAGATGTGCTGATATAGAGATGAAATTGCACATTCTCCTTCAGCTTAAACCCGCCTCGCTCTGATTTGATAAAAATGGATTTTTGTTGATCTTCTTTATTGCTGAAACAGAGAATAAAGCTAGAGTCAAAACTGACATTAACACATAAATAACCATAAGCCAGGCAGTCTTAAGAGGCATTCGTAACAAACACAGGATGCCTGGAAATTTTACAGTCTAAATCTAACAGTTATTACAAATAAGAAAATTAAAAGACCTTCGAGACAAGAAACAGCGCCCCTGACATCCCCAGATGTCAAGAGCTTTCAGGCACTTAGCAGCAAATTAAACATCATTTTAACTTTTAACCCACTTGAGATTATTTTCATTTGCATGTTTACAGTTTACAAAATGATTCCAAATTACTTTCCCTGTCATCCCCTCTCATGATTGACACCTAACTGAATACATGTTCTGTTAAAGTCAAACTTTAGGGCAAAGGGCCTGAGTTATCAATTAAATATCCTCATGCAAGAGGAGAAGTCTTTCACATTGGAATAATTAAGACAGATGTTTCACACAGACACCTTTTCAGCTCCGTGTGACCAGCTCCCCCCCCCCCCCCCCCCCTCCAGCTTACCTTAGATAAAGCTCAAGTTGTGTATACAGAAATTTAAGCAGGCACCGGCGAGATATAATTTCCGCATGGCAATCGTTTAATGCAAGACCACGATCACTCATGTATTCACCATTGATGCATTTTGTTCCTGTAGAAACACTTATTACCAGGGCATCTTTCACATCTGTACCTGCAAAAAAAGATTTCAGGAGGAAGATGCAATTAAAATCACAAATAATCTAAGTTACCTGCCTGCACAACCCCAACAAGGGTATTTTTTGTTTGTTTCTTTATTTAAAAAAAAAAAAAAAAGCTTTTTCTTCTGATACTTTCTTTCCTTAAAGCAAAAGCTTCACTCAGCCATACCCTCCGTGTACCAGTACGGGTTCTTGTGAGTTCTTCATGTGGGAGTTCAGACGAGCTAAGAATTGAAAACCTGCAGGGAAAAATCACTCTTTGGGAAGAGTTTATTAAAGCCTGAGCTTCAAAGACGGTGCTTTTCTCCTGAGCCCTGGGCAGCGAGCTAGCTTCCAGCATGTACCTTCTGGCCACCTATGCAGATACTCGCAGCAACTTTAGAAATCTGAAAGGCACTGATTTATTAACACAGCAACATGTTATAGAAGCCAACAACAGGAAAGGTAAGACTAGGGAATGAAGAAGTTTAAATGCTTAAACCAGTGTAAAGCTTATCAGCAGTAAAACGCTTCTAAAAGTGTAGTTCTTGGTATTAAATAATTCCGTCCAATCGAATTAAAAAATATTTTGGGTGTTTTCTATACAGAGAACTGTCATTATCACACCAGAAAAAAAAAGGTCAGCTGCATGAAGAATTCAGAAAGACAGGTCAAAATGTTACATCCCTCTAGCAAAACACTCGGCAAAAAAAGCCCCAACAAGCCACACGAACTCCTCTGAGGCTCTCCAGGCAGACAGCGGCCAAGCCCTGCCAAACGCCTTCTGCTGCCTTCCTCCCACAGAACAGTTACTGCGGTATGAAAAAAGAGAAGAACGCTTTTTCTTTCAACACACCCCAAGCACTGAGAGCTGAGGATGCTTCTCCAACCACCTGTCTGCACCACAGCAGTGCCGATACAAGGGGTGCAACTAGTAATCAGCAAGGGAATTGGTGAGTCATTAAAAAGGTAATTGGGATGAAATATATGGCCTTAAAAAAAAAAAAAAAAAAAAAAAGAAAAAAAAAAGGTGAGCACAGCTGCCCGCTCCTGCCGCAGGGCTGGAGGAGAAGCCCATGGAGGAAAAGCAGGAGATGCTGCCCTCTGCAACACAAGGGGTCGGCTAAGTCCAGGGCTTCCCCAGACACGTATCCATGCAAAGCTGGTTTCTAATTCTGTGTAAAGCTATTTTTTCAGTTAATCAAAACCTCCCAAGGGCCAGGGTGCTGGGGGGGGTGGGCAGGAGACCATGAGGGGACAGAGCCGGGACAGCTAAGCCACAGGCATCAAGGGATATCCCACACCACAAGCGTTGTGCTCAGCAGTAAGAGCTCAGGGAAAGGAAGAGAGGATGTTCAACATTACAGCACTCTTCTACACATGAGTCTTCTCACCCTCCTTCCATTTTGTCCCCATGTACCAGGATCTCTTGTGACAGAGTCTGGGCCACGTTGTCCCTTTGCCACATTCCTCCACCCCTAATCAGCACCCCAAGACCTCTCTGCTCTGCAGAGGAGGTCCTGACAAACATCCCCACGGGAGGAAAGGGCTGGCATTGCCCAAACTGACAAGGGAAGGCTGGACATTTATCACCGGTATCTCTCTGACTCATACAACTCACTGGGGACGTCTCACGACAGACCCAAAATGAAAGTCCCATCAAGGGTTTGGACGGATTGAAAACAAGAGAAATCTTAGCCCGAGGAAAATTCAGCAGCAGCATGGATGCAGATTAGCTTGGGGCAGAACTTCACTGTTTTGGGCAATCTGGCAGAGCACAGATCTCGTGCCAGCAATCGGAGAAGCACGACGTTATTGCTGCCTGTACACGCACACCAGTGTCAGCTGCCAAAACATAAGCTGCCTTCTTCAGATGGTTTTACTAAAATGACTGAGACACAAAGCAGTAAGAAGAAAATACAGCAAGAATAACTCATCAAGGTGTAAAACCTTAAAAAATGGGAAAGCAAGCATCATTTCTTACATAATATGCCAAAACCCAAGAATGCCATCTGTGTGACCAATGTGGTGAAATTTATTTTATATTTCCTTCCAAAAATTTGCACAATTAATTTTAAAAAGTAAATGTATTTTGTAGACCATGAGTTATCTCAGATGTCTCGATAAGGCAGAAGACAGGAACTCTGTGGAAACAGAAGTATTTGCAGGTCTAATTTTCCTGTAATTATCTCTAGCCAAGATTTAATTGCTATATTTAGTGTACCTTGAAGATTAAAAAATATAATAAATTTAAATATATTAAAGATTAAAAATATATTTCTATACTGGTCGACTGCAAAAAGACAGTTTCCTAGAATACAAACAAAGCTCTCATATTTAAGCAGTTAAAATAGTACTTTTCTTAAAAATTTACCTGTTGTCATGACAATTCCAGCAAGGACTTTTCTACGTGCATGTGGAGAGGTGAAATTTTCTGTCAAATCACTGAATCTATCTACAACCAAGCGTGCAACAGCATCAGCTAAAACCTGCAGGATCACACAGAAACACATGTCAGAAAATTAACAAATAATTTTAAAATTACAGCAGTGTTAGGGTTATAAAGGCTTGACACAATAAATTAAACGAGTTTTTATTGCTCACTTTAAAAATGGACTCTGAGGCATCAGCCATATCTCAAGGAGGTGGCTGGGTCCAGTTTTCAGGCATACCGAGCACTCGCAGCTCTTTGTAAGTGGAAGCAGAGCTCTGTGTGCCAAGCCAAGCATCCAAGTACCTAATGCTCATGATCGTTATGAACATTTGAGGCTTAGGAGAACAACTGGATAGACAGATAAGTCTATACTCTCATGCTCAAACCTCAAAACACATTATTTCAGTATTCTCAACATTGGACCTGACAAGATTGAAGTGCACAAACCAGGCTCCTCAAACCAACGTGTAAACCTTTTATAACGATTGAATTAATTATCTAGCTATTGCATAAATAAGAATTAATGTTTTCAACACTGGTTAAAACATCTCTATTGCTTATTTTTACAATACATATACTAATTTAGGAATAGAAAATGTCAATGTATAACTGAAAATCACTTAGCTCAAAATTAGGAAGGATTTATCTCTTTCACCTTCAGGAAAAGTTGCACAATAACAGCCACAGCCTTGTTGTACCTTGCCAGCAGGGTCAGCAAGCAATGCCGCTCAGCCTGGAAGGAGGGCTAGCTTCTAATGCGAAGGAAAACTTCAAAATAGCAGTCCTGCTCTTGTTGAACAACGGCTTAGTTCAACACTGCAGCTAATCTCACCTGCTGTTTTTAAGGCAGCTGGAACCGCAACAGCTAGAGGAGATGAGTCAAGATCAAATTATTGAATTTTTGCCTGAAAAGAAACTAAAAACCAGGGCAACCTATGCAACAGCATCACTAGCACAGCTGGTTGTTGCCAAGGCTGAGAAAGGCACGTTCCGTGTCAGATGGCATGATGAGCTGTCCCCAGGCTGGCAGGAGAGATGGGGCAGCCTGTCCCCACCCATCTGCCACCAGCACTGGGATCAGGAGCCGGCAAGGAGGAGCGCAGAGCCGGGGAGGGAGCTCAGGGCCCTATCTCAGAGCGCCAGGTGGAAAGAGCTCGATCTGGTTGTCCGTGTGTTGGCACCCAGCAGTATCTGAGATGTTCTGGGATAACCACCTGGCCCACAGGCTGACACAGCAGAAGGACACAGGTCCTGTGTCACACCTGCCAGCACCATGCAGATGTCTTGGATACACCCAAGAGCATCCGCCGTGGTGCTAAACCCACAGGTAAGCAACTACATCAAGCCCAAAACGATGCTTGTGGCAGAGAGTCTTCTGCTTACAAACTGCCTTTGGGCTCTTAGGAATGGAAGAAGATCACTGCTCCCACCCCAGCAGTATGCAGAGTTTAGAGGTACCCATTTGGAACAGGACAAACTCTTGAACACAGTTCTAAAAACAGACTGCCAGGGTCAAAAGAAAAGAAAGAAAAGAAAAAGAAGGTTTGAAAACTGCCAACCTGATTCACCACCATTCTCTTAACAATGCTCATAAGAACAGACAGCCTAGAAATAACGTGGAGGAGCTCTCAATGTTAACTTCCTTCTGGAAAAGCTCTAGCAGCCAAGGAAGCAATAATTAAAGCTCACGTGTCGTGATTTCAGAGCTTGATGGCTTTTTGCAGAATCTGACTGGAGACAAGCGACCAGCAGTCATTGGGGACTCAGGTCACATCTGTGCCAAGCTTTGGTCAACCTTTTCCAACTGCACAACTTGTACAGTCAGAAGACTCTCAACATGGCAAATACAAATTTTCTTGATGCATTTGAATGGATCACAGCCCGGAAACTCTTATCAACAGATTGAAGAATTTTTCAGAAGCACAGTTTTGCCCAGAGGCTATAAACGTGTCTGGTCAGGCAATGATTTTCAAACAAGGTCTTTTTGTTGCTGGACCCAAAATTGTGTTACGGTCTGTGGTCTGACAGCACCACGACCACGCAGCACAAAATATGCATTTAACCGTGCTAGTACTTACCTAACGCAGAAAGCTGAAATTTAAGGTAAATACACAAAAGAAAAATAACGAGCGGCAGTTTTGTTATCATCTTGGATTTAGAAATGGAAAATTAATACACTGAAGGCTTAAATGATTAACTTCCCTGCAGTCACACAGGCTGATTACCACAGGGACAAGACACAGAGTCCTCGTTCCAGCATTTTATCCATAGCCCCAATGCAGAATTATGGATACTGCTTCCCAGCTGCAAGCTTTATGCCCTCATTTCTGTTATATATATATATATACATATGTTTCTGCTCTACCTTACATCATTGCACACTGAACAGGAGAACACAGCTGGCAGCTGACTAGCTACCAGGCAACATAAAATCATGTTGAATGACATGGTGATGGAATATGGTATTGCGGAACTAGCGAAACCAACTTTTCCAAATAGGGATGGACCTGATCTGCAAAAAGAACACATGCTTCAGAGAGGCTTCAAAGCCTGCCAGAAAGGCTTGCCATCCATGTAATAAACAATATAGGTCACCGGTTCTCTGAAAAAAAAGTGAGTGTGATGACTGGTAACAGGAGGAGGCTTCTCCAACTCTGAGCTACACAAAACCCACAAAGTTCTGCACGTACCAGAAATGGCGATTCCAAAATGCTGCCCCAAAAGCAACCAGTTGCCAAGAGTGAACACAGAGGAACGCTTCTTCTAGGATCACCAAACACGGAGAACTTGCTACATAGATCCTCAAACTACTTGGCCAAACGGAGGCTGATACAATCATCCATTCCCTGGGGGAACGAGGGCTGGCTTGAGGAGGTTCTCATTGAGAGGTTGGAACTGAAACTGCCAAGTGTTTCTGGGAAGAAACCCATGGCAAACCTACCCGCCAATACCACTGACAAAAAGACTGCTTGAACAGCAATTGGGTAGGATGCTTGTTTACAGGGCGGATACATTAACATTTTCCAAAAAGATTTATTTTTTTCTCATAATAAGCAAAACAGAAGAACCTGTGGTGTCAGTATTCAAGTGAGAACATGGTGAGTCCCTCTGGGAAGATGTAAGCTGGCACAGAAGGATGAGTTTGGATTGCATCTCAACCAGCATGGAACTAAGCTGCTGGCAAGGAAACCTAAAATGCTCGAATGAACATGAAGCCAGGCACCAGGGAGGGCTGATAAGAAGGACCAAGCAGAACTCAAGTGAGACAAAACGTCTGCTAGAGATGTGAACAATACAGGAGGAACTGTAGGAGATGAGGGAAAAAATCACGGTCAGAAAACAGGCAGATACATTAAAAGGGTTTTTTATTCTATTTGATGCTCAAGTTGCGTGACAACAGGTGGGTGGTGAGGAATAAAAACTATTAAATGTCTACAGATGTAGTTACTAAGGTTCTGATCTTTTATGAAAGTACCCAATAAATTAGAAGAATCATCCTTTTCTCCCCAGTGGCCTATTACATTAACATAGTTAGGAGTCACCAAGAGCATGGCAGAAATGGGAATAAGGCAGGCTATGAACACACTCCTGCAGCGCTGGGAACAAGACTTACTCTCCTAAAATGATGTCCTTGCTGTCCCCATCTCAAAACCAAGGACTTGAAGCTGTCTCCACATCAATCCCAGGCCACTGGGCCCGGGTAGGGATCTTTTACTTCTTGTTCCAACTCTACTCCCTTTCATAGAAATCAATATTAATCGAAACAGAAATTGAACTCGTGTCTCACCTTCCCAGCAAGTGCCCTAACATCTGACACACTGTTTCTCTACCCCTGCTCCTGCATTTAATCATTATTCAAAGTTGGGTAATTCAAAAAACAAAAGACCTAAAATAGCTGACAGTTTGCTCATGAAGGCATGTGAGCTCAAAGCTATTTTGGGTGTGCTGTTCCTTTCTCTGGTGAAGTTACAGTGAATATACTTCTTTTCTACACATATTTTGGTTCTACACAGACACTGCTTTGAGTTAATATATATCTCGCAGCAATGTTGTAGCTGAACACGGTCTTGTAATCTTACACAACGACCACTCAGTCACCCTTCCTGCCTCTGGAGGATAGGGGAGAGAATTAAAGGGGTGAAGGGAAAAGAGACTCGTGGGTTGAGATAGGAACAATTTAATAACTAAGCTACAATAATACTGGAAATAATAAAGATGACAATAGTAATATACACGAGTGAGTGATAACACAGGGATACTGCTCACCACCCGATGACCAAGGCTCAGCCCGTTCCCATCTCCTGTGATGTCCAACATCACCTCCTGAGATGGCCAAAGCACTGCTCAGCAGCAGGACCAGCTCCACGGATGGAGGCAGCCTCAGCCAGCACCAGCATCCCCTGCAAACCACCCGCCTCCCAGTGCTGGGCTGCTGGCACGGACGTGGCACCAGGGACAGGATGATGTGTGAGAAGCAGCTTTTTCCTGGCCCAGCGTTGCTCTTTGTGGTGGTCGAGTGCTCAGCAATACTCCTTTACCCAGAAATCAGATTTGCAAAAACAGTTTTCAAAACCTGGTCACACTGACTTCCACGCTTCATCCAGAAATGTGTGACCCCCTTGTCTTCAGAAGTGATTTTAAAAGACTTCACATTTTGCTGTCTTCTCTGGTACTCATCACCTACCAACTCTGCAGACCTATGACAAGCTATGCACTTAAACTTTTTAATGCTATTAAACTAAGTATGCTGAAACATGCAGTTTTGCTCCATGGAAAAGAGTAAAACTTGCAGAACACGCATTTTAGAGCCCTTGGTATGTCCTGCGGCTTATTGCAGAACACAGGACACCTCCTTGCATCGCCAAGTGGGAGGTAAAGTGAGGATGGCCATCACTTTACAAAGTGTAGCTAACCATAAAAATACTTTCTTTGTTCTGCAGAGGCAAGTCCATTTTAACACACTCACTTGCAAGGTAATAAATGCACGATGGGTGACTTTTTCAGCAGGCCATTTTCATCCCCTCTGGGGCACACACTGAGTGACTTACTGGCTTTAACTCACTAGCAAAGAGATTTTCCTCACCACAGGCAACGTTGCTTCGCTCCTCACAAAAGGTCAAGCTGTAAGCAAGATACTCGCTTTGCAGAGACTGGTTTTCAGTGTATTAAACCATGGGATCAGCACCTCGATAACCCACTCTACAGACCATAAGATTATACCTACGCCCATTTTATAAGCTGATTTCTGATGTCAACTGTCCTCGTATTCTGTTTGATAGCTTGCACATGTATTTGCACATTTAATTTCCACCAGAGCGCCTGCAGCTATGGGGTGGTGTGTGACCATGGATGTGCATTTCAGACAACAGTCGCGACCACCTCCGGAGCTGGGATCACCTCTTCTCTCCTCTCCACTCTTTCTGCTCTTTCGCTTTTTTTCACAAGGTACCACAAATTAACACACAAGCCACAGACAGGTTTTGAACCTGCCACCCAGGCAGTCAATTCCAACATCTTCATTGGCACAACCCCACTGTACTTTTATTATTTCCACTGAGCATTTGGTATTTCGATTTTTCCTTCCCTTCCATGTTTCTAGCTTCCATTTTTTTCCAACCCAATCAGCATTTTATTTGTTTTATGCATTATAACAAACCCTATCCTCGTTTACATCATTCCTGTACTCTTCAGTGTTTCTGACTTTGCCCACTTTAGGATTATCTCCAAATCTAATATCTTTACACATCCCGAGTAAACACTCTGCAAAACAACGCGCAGAGTTTAAAAAAAAAAAAAAAAAGAAGATAAATAAAGCAGGACCTGAAAACATCACAAACGCTTAAATCCCTTATTAATTATTAATGCACACCAGACCAAAATCACTAATATGGAACAGACCTTGATATAGTTCCAAGAACTTGGCAGCTAATGGTAATTAAAAGCAGGGTAATCCAACACAGCAAAGTGCAGAAAGGACAGCGACGTCCTGATCACAAGCTGATCAAAAGCCTCTGAATAAATAAACGACCTTGAATCGGGTCTGCATAAGGCAGCACCAGCAACCTCCCCCCTCCCACCCGGTGTATTTGGCATTACTCTTAACTCCCAGCGGGTTCTCCTCCAGCCTGTTTCAGTGCACACCTAAGACAGGTAAAACACAAGCTAGCCCTGGGGCACGCTTTGCTGTACACAAGATGTGTATCAAGGTCAGTGTAGGAGCACTAGAAAAAAAATTTAAAATAATGATTGCATGGGTTGCTTTTTTTGTTCTTTAACACCGTAGCCCTAGGCTCGAACGCCCTGATTGTCCCATAAGGTCTGCGACAGCTGCCTGGGACAAAATCTGACAAAGGCAAGGAGCTCAGAAAAACCCAGCGCTGGCCAGCCGTCCATGGAAGTCCCTTACGGAACAGAGGCTGTGTAAACTGTTAACACGCTGGGCTGCTGGGCAGAGAAACAACTTTACCCTCTTGGAATGACACCTCTTTCACATCTCACCTCGCGCTCTTCCCCACTTCCCTGTTCTTCCAGTTTTCACCATTTTCCTGATTCAGGAACTAACGACACATAAATGACTGGCAGTGACTTTTTTTTGGTGTCTGAGGCCAAATCTCCTCCTAAAAGCACAGTGAAAAATTAAGCCTGAAGTGACAGAATCTTCTGAAGAAATCATAGCTACCTGAAATAGCACGATCCTAGATTTGAAAATGAAGGAAACATTCATCAATAATTGTGCAATATTAAAAAAATAAAGCATATGGGAATTTCTAACTGATGCATATTGTCCGCTCATTTTGAGAAAATAACATATTTAAAATAGTCACAACACCTACTCAGGCTCTTCAATCCCACATTATCCAGTGAGACCGGTAACTTATGATTTTAATGAAATATAAATGAAATGAAATATTTTGAGATAGAAAAGGTCAAAGCCTTGAAACTCTCATAATAAACAGGTAGAAATCTGCAAAAAAGTCACAGGTAAGTATCTGAACTTAGACAGGCATATAATATCATTAAAAAGACCCAAGAGACGCATCAGAAATAGCAGAAATAGTTAGTGTAGTTTGACTGGGGAGAAACACAAGCAAGCAAATAAGGGAGAATTTTTCTTCACTAAAAAAATTAAAAATTACTCCGTTCTAGCTCCTTTAAACTTCTTATTTATGTCTGGTATGTTTGATACTTCCTCTAGTTTCTTAATTATTTGATTTAAAGTATTTCTCATCTGGATTTACTTGCCTAAGTAACTTACATACACTTAACTAATTCAATTAGAGCACAATCCTTTAGGTGACAGCCACTTAGCCACATGTCTGAGAGACACGCACCATGTGTCGTTTATTTAGAGACTAGAAATACATGAAGACTGCATTAGCGTCACTTAATCTGTTATTGACCTCCATTATTCAGCTCTGTAATGCCAACAAACTTCAGCTTACAGATGTGAACAATTTTCTTTTCTGCTAAAAACTGTTTTATCAAAGAATGATTTTACTTAGAGCAGTAATTCTGACTTGAACTCCACCGAAGTCTTGCTGCCTAAGATGAGCAAGACGTGATTCAACCTCTCCTCAGCACAAACCATAATCCAAGCTGGCACTGCGCTGAGCTTGGCGCTCTCTTACGTGACATGATAAAGGCTGAAAGCATCAGCGGCAAAGCCTCCTCTCTGTCCAACAGAATGTAAAGAGTTCACGCAATTGTCGGAAGCTGTAAGTGGATAAATCACCTAATACATATATACATATATATATACACACATATATATGCATTCACACAACTACAGAAGCAGAACAAACAGCAGAAATGCTCTCCAAGCAGACTCAATAGGCGTGACTTGGCTACTCCTGGTCATGACCCAAAGACATCAACAAAACCCACCTGTGGCAAGTGTAACTGGAGCCCCTCGCTGGGAATGGGCTGTCGAGATGGGGTCTGGTCCAGCTGCATGTTAAACAAGGATGCCAAGGCCGACTGAGCAGCCCGAGCTTTTGCCAACTTTTTATTCCTTCCCGAGCCTTCAAAAGTCTGACCGCCCACCGCCACAGCCATGACAAAGTTTTTGGCATGGCTCTCCCCACTCTCCGAGAGAAATTCGTACTTCAGCCCCGGCCGCAGCTCGTTGAGGATCATGACGGGGTTCTTCCCGCTGGCGGAGGGGTAGGGCGATGGTGTGGGGAGAGGAGACTGGGAAAGGTTGCTGGCTACAGCAGACGACGGCAAACCATAGTCCCCGCTAGAGCTAAAGGACCCATCCCCGTTGGACCCTAGGTAAAAGGAAGCATCGGAAGGGACGGGCGTTTCAAACCCATTGAAAAGGGTGTCAGGGAAGTCCGCTTGGTCGGCCCGCTGGCGGAGGGGTAGGGCGATGGTGTGGGGAGAGGAGACTGGGAAAGGTTGCTGGCTACAGCAGACGACGGCAAACCATAGTCCCCGCTAGAGCTAAAGGACCCATCCCCGTTGGACCCTAGGTAAAAGGAAGCATCGGAAGGGACGGGCGTTTCAAACCCATTGAAAAGGGTGTCAGGGAAGTCCGCTTGGTCGGAGGTGAAGTCTGTGTTGACCGACAGAGTCCTCCCCATTGCCAGGTGTGCTTCGGAGGCGTTTGGAAACTGGACGAAAGACCGCAGAGCCTTTTCAGCAGCGTGAAGCTTGGCTTTCTTTTTCGTTGGGCCAGACCCTTCAAATACCTGCCCGTTGACTTCGACTGCCATCACGAACATGGGGGCATGGACCGGCCCTGTCTGGGAGAGGAGTTTGTACTGTAAACCAGGTTTAATCTCATTAAGTTGCATCAGGGCATTCTTTGGCAGAACAGGGCCAGGTGTTTTCTTCCTCTTCTTCAGGCGAAATTTGGAGTGGCCATTGTTGCCTTCCTCCAAAGGACGCTTTCGGCTGCTGCTGCTGCCGCCGTTGGAGAGCTGTGTCCCCTCCCCGGCACCTTGCCCACCGCCGTCCTTGGGGGGAACGTTGTCCACGTTGCGGTTTTCTTTAACGTCAGTGCTGCTCGAACCTGCGGTGCCCAGAAAGAGTAACTTACAATGCCTTCGTTGCAGGATCTTGTAAATGCAAAATTTATAGATTCCTTTATCTCCCTTTGTAACTGGTTAAGTGATGTGTGCTCACAGCTTAGTGTTTTGCAATATGATCAGAGATAATAATAATGCAATATAATTCAAGAAATAACACACTCAAGAATGATTTTCAAACCACACATTTGATACAATCATGCAGCAATAAAACACTGCAACTTTTTCTTTTCCATTTAAATCATGCTGGAAGAAAACTTGTACTCATAAGTTACATTTGGCTGAAAAATGCTTTAAGCCAGAAATGTAAGTTATTGTAGCATACGCCTATAAAAGAAAGAACTACCATTAGTAAAATAAAAACTGATGCTTAAGACCAGTACTAGGAGATGCATATTTAATTCTACTTTATTCTTATTTTATTCATATTACTTTTTTTTCCTCAGTGATTTTAGTTGCTCAAATTGAGAAATGACATAAACAAAACCCGAGCCATGAGAAATCAGGCAGTTCCTTCAGTAGGCATCTTGAATGTAGAGTGTTTGAATGCTTCTGTTTCTCTTTAGCTATTCCATTTTCTCTGTATTCAATTCTTTTTTATCCTTTTCCTAGCCGTTCATTTCACCTCACCCCAATTTGCTCAGGAAGTACAGCTGCCCGCTGCGCCAGCATGCTCACAAGACTACTTCATATATTTCCACCCAGCTTTCTATTAAGAAACCTTAAATTCATCATTTACAAGCTATTTTGTAATTAATTATTTTGCAAAGTAAGAAAACTGCTGTCACAGAGTTACAAACCCAAAAATCATTATAAAGATCCTCTCTGTGCAGAACACAGGTGTGACAAAAGCTGCGCAGTCACAATGATGACATTTTAACTGGAGGGATTATTAACATATATGTAATATTAATATGTAATATTAATTTAATTATTTATTTTCTAAAGTAGGAAGTTGAGGCAAACATGCCAGAAGCATATTTAAAGAATTATATTTGCTATAACTGTAAAGCCTTCATTTTTACCCTGATAATGAAACTAAGGAAATTATTTATTTCTGCTTTATATTGGCATTTATGAATGAAAAGGCACACTTAGTAAGTCAAGTATTTCAAACTCTTCTGTTCCAAAACTTCAAAATATCTGTATTACATCTACACTGCTACTAGGTGATACATATTAATTGAAATGAGAGCAAACCAAGGTGGAAGCTCTCTTTCACAGTGACAAATTTCAACCACACTTCAAGTCTTCCCTAAGAATCCCCTACCATGCACACATCACTTCGCCCATGTTACAAAGCTGATGGAATGGTTACTAAATTTTCATTTATAACATCCTCCAGCAAAAGCTCGATAGGTTACTCCTTTCGGTGCTCGAAGAGAAAAAAAAGAAGAAACAAAAAGAAAAGATCAAAAGAAAAAGCCAAAGTAGGAACAGATTTTGTTAAATCACAGTAGCACAACAAAGAATTGTACAGCACTGAACATTAAATTCCAGGCAATTAAATT